TCTGACTTGCTCTCCAGGCCACGCCCTCCCCGCACCCTCACCCTTTCGTTCCAGCCAAACAGACCTGACCCACTTCCCTACTGCTCCCGGCTATCTAACGCTTTCTCCCCTGCCTCCCTCCAGCCAGTCTTTCTCCTCGGAGCCTCCAATCCAGAAAGCCTTCCCTGAGCCCCCCCGGAGTGGGTGAGGTGCCTCCCCTAAGCTCCCCAAGCTGTGGGCACCTCTCCCAGCCCAGCCCTGACACCTCTGGGAGGCCACCATCTAGGGTCTGAAAGGGCTGGGGGCTCCCTCGGGCACTGTGTGTCCCCCACCCCCACCTCACCCCAGTACAAAGAACAGCGAATGCTGACAAACCACAAGACAGATGCCCAACGTTAGTGGAGCGGGCCTCCCGTCCCCACCCAGTCTGCCACAGCACTCACCATGGGCTTGTCGTAGAAGGGGAAGCCCTGCATGGAGCGCAGGGCGTTGGTGGCGCTGCTGACCTCCTTGAAGATGACAAAGGCCTGGCCCCTCATCTTCAGGCTCCGGGAAACCAGGATATCCAAGATCTGGCCAAACTGGGAGAAGATGGCGTACAGGGACTTCTTCAGCTCTGCAGGGGGAGGAAGGGAGGAGCCACTGGGTGACTAGAGGTCTTGGTACCTTGTCCTGGGGGTTGAGGTCCTCTTTCAGAGCCAGGTGCAGCCCAGAAGGGACACCATCAGCCAAATGCCACAGTGCCGCAGGGCAGGAACCTCCAAGAGGCAACAATACCAGCAGCAGCCAAGAACCACTGGGTGGGTTGTGTGTGCTCCCGTGTGCACGGACAATACCGGTACCCGCCCCGGGGGGGAACAGGAGCCACACGTAACAGAGGGCACATGGTAGATGCTCAATACACGTGAGCATTCTCTTCCTTGTCACTGGCATCTTGACCTAGGCCTGCGTGACGTGGCCCTGGCCAACATCTCCAACATCATCCCCCCACACTGCATCCCGCTCCCATATCTCCAGCTGCACTGGCCTCACAGCCCTTTCTCAGGCCGGTACATGCATGCAGCCTCAGGACCTTTGCCCTGGCTGCTGCCTCCATGACAAAGTCTCTTCTCCTGCTGGTCAACTAGACCTCAGTAAAAGTGTTCCCACCTCAGAAGTCTTCCCTGACCACCTTGTCTTAATAAATGCCATGAGGGGCGCAGGGGTGGCTCAGTCCATTAAGTGTCCGACTTGCACTTGGGTCATGATCTTGCGGTTTGTGAGTTCGAGGCTGGCATTGGGCTCTGTGCTAACAGCTCAGAGCCTGGAGCCTGCTTGGGATTCTGGATTCTGTGTCTCCCCTCTCTCTGCCCCTTCCCTGTTCACACTCAATCAATAAGTAAGTAAATAAATAAATAAATGCCACCTGTTTTTGCTCTCCCCATTCCTTGTACCTAACTGCTTTTCCTTCATGGCATTTCCCCCGTCCTAACGTCACGTTCAGCTGTCCTAAAGAGCCACAAGCCTCTCCACTGTATTTGCTGCAGTAAACCCATGCTCGGTGCAGGCTAAGCACACACGCTTCTCCAAAAACACTTGCATGAATAGCAATACCACTAAATGTCTTTTTATGGAAAGAACTTCACCAAATTCCTACAAATGCTTCTTCAAGAAGCAACTGTAACTGTCTCAATTTCACTAATGTGGAAATAAAATAGACTCTCAGAGGATTTGTCACTGGCTCAACGGGGTGTCCCAAAGGTCCTGGGAAGAGCCTACAGAGCTGGGATGAGGACCAGGACCCAAGTCCATTTGAACCCAATGTCACCATAGCTCACTAACAAACTGTCCTACCTAACAGAAAATACTGGGGCGCCTGGGTGGCTCAGTCGGTTGAGCGTCTGACTTCGGCTCAGGTCATGATCTCACAGTTCGTGAGTTCGAGGCCCGCATCAGGCTCTGTGCTGTCAGCTCAGAGCTTGGAGCCTGCTTCAGATTCTGTGTCTCCCTTTCCATCTGCCCCTCCCCTGCTCAGGCACTCTCACTCTCTCTCTCAAAAAAAAGTTAAAAAAGGGGCGCCTGGGTGGCTTAGTCGGTTAAGCGTCCGACTTTTGCTTAGGTCATGATCTCGCGGTTTGTGGGTTCGAGCCCCGCGTCGGGCTCTGTGCTGACTGCCAGCTCAGAGCCTGGAGCCTGTTTCAGTCTGTGACTCCCTCTCTCTCTGACCCTCCCCTGCTCATGCTCTCTCTCTCTCGTAGAAATAAATAAAAAAAAAAAAAAAAAAAAAAAGTTAAAAAAAAAAAAAGGAAAGGAAAGAATACCAATCTCGTACAGAGAAGGCATCTGAGCCGAAGATGATGCTGAAAGACTGGATGAGGAAAAAAAAGAAAATTCGGGGGAAGGGAAGCTGAAAAGGGAAGTAAAAAGTGTTCTGGCACAATTAGCCAAAAATTCTCCTGCTGCCGTTTCTGGTGTTTGTCTCCATCCGCGACACCCATGAACCCAGTTTGGGGCTTGGTCATTCCCCTGGACTCTGGGCCTCTTTCCCTTCTCCCCTCCTGCCCACTCAAGTGCACGCTCCCTGATTCCCTGGCTCCCTGGTACCCTCAGGACAAAGTCTATCAACCTACCCGCCCACAAAATCCCATGAGCCATCAGCGCACTGCTCACTGGAAGGTTCTTCCTGAGTCACAAGCCTCAGTCACACCCAACTACTTGGCAGTTTCCAGAATGGCCTGGGCTCTCTTTTGCCCCTAGACGCTGCCATATGTTGGTCCACATTCAGAACACTCTTCTCCCTCACCATGATGTATATACTGTTTCTTCTATCTGGGAGGCTTTCCCAAAACATCTCCTTTCCTGTGAAAGGGAACGAATCCCTCTGTCCAGGTGCCCAAACCCAGCCCTGACCCTGACCCTGCTTGTGCTTCCCCAATCATGGCCCTGGTGACTCTGGGCTATCATTGTCTGGAAGCAGGTCCGTCTTTCCCAATGGAATGTGGCTCCATGAAGTCCAAGACCAGGACTGTCTGTCACTGGGGTGTTTCCCCAGCATCACAGACAACTGGCTGAGCACAATACTCGAAGAGCATGGAGGACATTTACATGGCTTGTTTCATTTTCTTCGACAGTTAACTTAATTGGTAACGTCAAAACTTAATCCCAGCATGCTCCCGTGGTTCTCCTGACAATTGTCTTAAACTGATAAGGGCTAAGTTCTACCCAGCCCCTACTAACTGCCAGGTACCATAAATATCAGCCCTGCTTGGGTGTTTAGCTCATCTAATCCACGTAACGTTCATGCAAAGAAAGTATTAGAACTTTGTTCAATTTTCGAATATAGAAAACAAGGTTCAATCAAGGCGATAAAATGAAAAAGTACGTCCACTGTCAAACATGGAGTTCTTAAGCAGAATTCCGTAGTGGTAGCCTCAACCATTTTACCTTGCTGTGTGACCTTGGGCAAATCACATCAGCCCTGATGTGTCCTCATCTGAGAAATAACTCCTTCCTGAAGGACTGTTGTTGAAAATTTACTGTAATAGATTTACATACCGGTACCTGGTGATAGCATTAGCCATCGTTACTATGATTTGATTTTCTTTTGGAAATGAACCCTATCCATTGAGGGATGATCACGGAGAACACCACAGTGACCAAGACAGTCTCAGAGCTTACCCTCATGCTCACATAACCAACAGCTCAGAACAATCAGGCCTTGAGCGGGAGATGTGCAGGGCCTATGGGAAGTCAGAGGGAGGCACCTGAAAGAGGATGGGGAAGGCTTCTTGGAGAAGTCCTGTGAGCTGAAACCTTGAAGGATGGACGGTGACCAAGCTGACGGCCAAGCTGATAAGACGAACTGAAGGAGCGTTAAACACACAGGGTGCAGCGTGCGCAAAGGCGGAAAGATTAACATTTTGGCAGGAGAAAGCGAAGGAAGAGAAGTGAATGCTGGGGGTGGAAGAGTGGGCCGGCTCGTGCGAGGTAACCTGGAGCCTGAACTATCCTGAGAACTCACCATCTTTCTTGATCTTCTCGTTGAGGTTGTTGATATAAATAGTGTGGTTGGGGCGGGTCTCGGGAACTGCCATCGGGAGAGGTGCCGAGGTAGAGCTGAAAAGAAGGAAAAAGGTTAACTTCGGCCCTGGGTTTCTCCGAATCCTTTGCCCCAAAGCGGGTTTAACGGGTTGCTCAGAGATCTTCCTTCCACGAAGAAGTCAAGGGAGGCGAGGAGAAGGCAGAACTTGGAAAACAAAGCGAAAGCACGACACGGCTTCGCCTCCCCGCGTGGGAAATCTCGAGAGGTTTACTACGAGTCCCAGGATGCTCTACGCGAACCGATAAGGCGGAGCATCCTAAGTGGCGACTCCCATAGGCCTACGATCTCAAAGAGCGGCCCAGCAGAAAAAGCCCGGATGTAAGAGCCAGTTAAGGAAAGCGACAATCTGCGGCGCCCTAAACTCGCGCAGCGGGAAGATAGTTTCTCCACACGAGGAACCGGAAAGTTCAGGAGCCAACCGCTCCGCCGTCCGGCGTAGATGGCCGCCTGCGCCCCAGATTACTCACCAACAGAGCCGCAGATCCCGCAAGGGTCGCCTGCTACGTTTCTAAGAGCCGACTACAAAAGCTTCCTCTCCTGATCCCGCCCCTGTCTTTCTGCAAACCAATCCCCTACCGAAACTCAGTAGCTTGACCAATCAGAGTAATCCTCGCCCCTTGGCCCAAAGCCTGCCAATCAAAACGGCATTTAGGTTCCCGCCTCGGCAGAAAACCCCTCCCCGGACCCGCCTCTGAGGGTCTACGGGCCAATCAGTGGAGGCCACGCCCCCTCACGCGCTTCTTGCCAATGGAGAAGCCTCTCGCCCTTCATTCTCTTCTGGGGGCAGTCCTTCGAAAGCCTCTCCTCTCCCCCACTGCCCCGCCTTCCCTCATCACGTGACGCTACAGGGCCGCCCACGGGTCGCGAGTACGGTCACCTGATATGGAGAAAAATGTGTGCTGCGGCCACCATTTTGCTGGAAGAGGAGGAGCGTCTTATTTCCTGGCTCCGTTGCCTAGCCCAGCGGTATCGCGGCTCCCAACGTCCTGTGATCTCTGAGCCTTCCCCAGCCCACGGGACCTTTCCTTTTGCACTCTGATTCCAGGAACTTCTCTACGACTAAGGCATTCTCCCTGCCAGGTGTCCTTTTGATCTCTTGACCTCTGATTCGAAGGTCAGCTTGAAGGTTCCGAACTCGGGCCTGGGATGTGAGGGGTTACAGAGCCTAAATTCCCCAGGGTGTCTCCGTAGGCCACAAAGTCCCACCCTTTAGGCGCCTCGCCCCGGGTGCGATCCTTCATTTTCTTTCAAAACTGACTCCCGAGTTTCCAAACCTGGCTCCGGATAATACCGTAACTTTTACTAACGCAACCCCAAACCACAAATGTAATTCCGGGGAAAAGACCCCGCCTTGTTGACTGTTAGATCCCTGATGATTTGAGTCCGCCCATCCCCTGCTCCCCTGGTTCCAAATGTCAGTCCCGGTCTCTTTAGAGTCACTGCTCTGCACTCAAGTTCCGGAAGTTCACCCGAAAACTTTTGGAACTGCCGTCCCTGCGACGAACTCATTTTAGAGGATCCATCCCTCTTCCGTTATCGATCTTCCAGGCTATACATGCCGTAGACCCAAAAATGAGTTCTCCATGCTGTCCTCCCCTAGAGCCCCCAGCCCCTTCTCCAGAAACCCCTGTTCCCCAGGGGCCCATCGCTCCACTTCTTCCTCTACCCCCAAACCTCCCCAATTTAGCTTTTCCGCCGCCTCCCTCAAGTCCCCAGGCCCCTATTCCCCCACCACCTCCATTGCCGCCCCCACCCCATGTTGGGGGGCAGCCCGCCCCTCATGTCTTCGGCCTAGAGAAGAGCCAGCTCCTGAAGGAGGCCTTAGAGAAGGCCAGCCCAGTCCCTGGGAGCAGAGATGACGTGAAGAGGCTCCTGAAGCGGCAGAAGGACCGGTAGGGTCTCACCGAACCACCTGTCCCCAGGTCACTTCCGCCATCTCCCCTTGGGGTTTCCCATTCCCTCGGGGTCAAACAGCCAGAGTGCTTCAGCCCCCTACTTAGACCCCGGTCAGTGGTGTGCCTTCACCAAAGGAGGGGGGGCACCTAGTCCAGGGGCAGAGGCAGATCCCTCCCGCCCCATGACAGAGCTGTAATGAGGGAGCCCTGAGGGAGCGCGTGGCCAAGGCTGTTGGTGGGGCTTTCCTGGAGAAGGGGACCCCTGAGAGCTATCATGTAGCCGCAGGGGTAAGTGACACGGGGCTGAAATGAAGAGGTGTCCTTTTCAGGGATCTGCAAATATTTTCCTTAACAGGATGGGGCAGCGGGGAGGTAGTAAACATGGGGCTTCACGGGTGGACAGGAGCCAGGTCACACAGGGCGTGTGGAGGAAGGTGGACTGTCCCGAGGGCACTAGGGAGCCATTGAAGGGCTTTGCACAAAGTGGGAGGCCACCTGAGTGCAGGAGGGGTGGTAAGGTGGTCAGGGGGCCCAAGAGACGCAGGCAGGAGGGGACTGGACCTGGACTGGGGTTGTGGTGGGCCGGTATCACCATGAGTTACCCAGACACGTGGATGAAGAAACCCCTCAGCTCTCTCGATAACTTTACACTCTGTTCGAAATGCCCTAACCCAAGGGAAGCAAACGTAATGCAAGTAGCAATCCCCCATTATCTCAGGTCTCCCGTCTATCAGGCTCTGTGCTAAGCATTCTTTGGTATGTACTTCACGCTCCCAGTGATTCGGTGAGATAGGAACTATTATTATAGCATTTTCCAGATATAGAAACAGAGGTTCATTGATGTTGAAGTCATTTAGCCACCGAGCTTAGAAGAGGGAGAGCCCAGTGTGCATCCAGGAGGCTTTTAACCGCTGTGCTGTGATATCATCTTTCATCAGGAGGGTGCCCCAAACTGGGAACCAGGAGCTTTGGGTTCTCCCCGCTCTCCCGCTCCCCCTTCCCCCCCCCCCCCAGCCTTACTCTCTCACTAGCCTTGGAACAAGAGTACTGTCTGAGCACGTTGCCCAGCCCCTCTGGAGCCCTGGGGCGGGATTGGGATTAGCCAGGTGAACTCTTAGGCCATGAGCGTGTTTGTTACCTGTTTCTTCTCTAGGCTGAGTTAAGGAATTTTCATCCCTATTTGACAGGCTTGGGAGGGAAAGACGCGCGTGCACACACACACACACACACACACACACACACAGAAGGGTTTAAGTATAGAGACACCTCTTCGAGAAATGTTCTCCTGTAAGTCCATTTTTCTGGCTCCTAGTTGCAAAGCTTTAACAGATCTGTCCTTTGGCCTTTCGATAACTGAGAGAGGGAGAAGGTGTAAGGATGAGTCCCACTGAGGAGATGAGGACACTGAGGCTTGGGAAGGGAGAGGTGCCTCAGGGGAGGAGGAAGTCAGCATCAGAGCCTGGAGCTGCGCCTTTCACCCCCAGCCCTGCTCAACGCTACTGTTGCAGGATTTTTTTTAAATATATTTTTTAAATATTTTTATTTATTTCTAGGAGAGAGAGACAGAGACAGAGAGAGAGAAACAGTGTGAGCAGGGGAGGGTCAGAGAGAGAGGGAGTCACAGACTGAAACAGGCTCCAGGCTCCGAGCTGGCAGTCAGCACAGAGCCCGACGCGCGGCTCGAACCCACGAACCGCGAGATCATGACCTAAGCGAAAGTCAGACGCTTAACCGACTAAGCCACCCAGGCGCCCCTGTTGCAGGATTTTTTTTACCACCATACCTGGCGTTCGTGGTCTGGCCGCTCCAAAGGATGGAGAGGTGGACACAAAATGACCAAGGCAAAAAGTTTATTAGAGCAGAAGAGCAGGAAGTGAGAATAGAAGGAAAGCTCTCTTTGCAGCGGGGACGTTCAAAAGCGGATGCCCGAGGACTCTAGGCAAGGGCCCTTGTTTCATAAGGTTCTGGTCAGCCCTCCCCTCCCTTCCCCGTTCCTTCTCAGCTCCCACCCTTATTGGCTGGACAAGTCTGGGTGCTGGGTTGCCCACTCCTGATTGGCTCGTTTCCATTGTATGAGGGTGGCCTATGACCCTGCCTTCCTTGTGGATCATAAGGTTTTATGGTCTAATTTTTAGTTAGGTATGGGGCGCCTGGGTGGCTTAGTCAGTTAAGCGTCCGACTTTCGCTTAGGTCATGATCTCGTGGTTCGTGGGTTCGAGCCCCGCGTCGGGCTCTGGCTGACTGCCAGCTCAGAGCCTGGAGCCTGTTTCAGTCTGTGACCCCCTCTCTCTCTGACCCTCCCCTGCTCATCCTGTCTCTCTCTCTCTACAAAAAATAAATAAATAAAATTAAAAAAAAAAAAAAAAAAAAAAAAAAAAAAAAAAAAACTTAAAAAAAAATAAATTTTTAGTTAGGTCTTTTGTCAAATACCTGAAGGACACCTGAGGGAGTAGGTGGGTGGGGTCTATTACATTCTTTTTTTTTTTTTTTTTTTTTTAATGTTTTGCTTATTTCTTAGGAGAGAGAGAGAGACAGCATGAGCAGGGGAGGGTCAGAGAGAGAGGGAGTCACAGACTGAAACAGGCTCCAGGCTCTGAGCTGGCAGTCAGCACAGAGCCCGACGCGGGGCTCGAACCCACGAACCGCGAGATCATGACCTAAGCGAAAGTCGGACGCTTAACCGACTAAGCCACCCAGGCGCCCCAAGGGGTCTATTACATTCTTAAGAGGAGCCTTACCCCTGGTGGGGGGGGGGTGCTCAGGCACTTCCAGTATTATTCCAAAATATGTCTTCCCGCCCCCAGGGACCTCGGGTCCTAATCCTTTCCCTCTCTGCCTATTTTACTATATTTTTTTCCAATCCTGCTACTCCCAGCCAGACGTCGAGCCCCCCCGCCCCCCCCCAGCAGGAGCTGGTTCCCCTGTGACCTGAGTCCCACTCTGATTCAGTTTCAGAAGTGACTTGCAGTGGATCCTCTTCTGTGCCGACCTGCCCTCCCTCATCCAGGAAGGCCCTCAGTACGTGCCTGATCTGGGACTCCAACCCTTGTCGACCTTGGCCGTGCTTCCAGAGAACCGATCTGCAGGGTGGGGGGCATGGGCTCATCCCAGACAGCTAGGGCGAGGAGGAGGGGAGGGAGAGGGGGACCTTGGAGGAGCGGGGTGCGTGCAGAGTAACGTGTTGGAATGGATGAGCAAGTAAGCAAGTGGGCCGGTCTTCCTCTCTGACTCTGCTTCCGCACCTCATGTCCTCCTGAAAGCCCCGGTGACATCTCTCCCCACCCTCCCGTTGTCCCTGCAGCCCTCCAGCCCTGGCCTCAGGCCATGGCCACCCTCTCCCCGATGAAGGGTGCAGTGAGGTCTCCCTCCCACCCCACCCCCGGGGCAGCAGACCCGTTCCCCACACTGCAGCTCTGGAACAGAGGGGGCCCCTAGAGACCTGACTTCGGGGACTGGGCCTGCCTCCCCCAGGTGCGGGCTGGTGGCCTTGTGGATGGCAGGCGCGCTCCTGGCACCGCCTAGCGGCATTCCCCTGGAGAGACTTGTGCAGATGGCCATGGACAGAGGCTACACGGCCCAGGGAGAGATGTTCTCCGGTGAGTTGGGTGCAGAAGGGGCTGGAGCCAGGCGGGTCAGGAGACCCTATTGCATTCCTCAGGCCCTTCTCCCCGCCCAGTAGAGTATTAGGAGTTGGATTCTGGAGACACGATGTCTTCATCAAACCCCTCCCACCCCCCAGCTCTCCACCTCTTGCTGAGCGGCTGTGGACCAGCAGCTTGCCATCTCTGTGCCTCACTTTCTGCATTTGTACAAAGAGGTGGTGGTTGCAGTGAAGATTAAAGGCTCCGATCCTCTGGTAGCCCGCGGCCCGGGGCCAGGCACCCGGTGATCCTTCCGTCTGTGTCGTCCCTGCAGTGGCTGACATGGGCAAGCTGGCCCAGGAAGCACTGGGCTGCTCGGCTGAGCTGCTCTGCGGGGGCCTGGGTGGTCCCAACAGAGACCGTGTACTGCAGCACCTTGTCGCCGGCTATCCCTTGCTCATCCCGTATCCCAGGGCCTAGAAGGGAGCTGGGCTTGGATGGGGAAGGGTGGGTCCCGGGGCCGCACCGCGTCTTTGGCCTTAACCCCAGCACCAGCTACGACGAGGACTTCAACCACGAGCCATGTCAGAGGAAAGGCTACAAGGCCCACTGGGCAGTGAGCACAGGTGGGCCTTCCCTCCCGCACCCCTGTATGCACACCCTGCGTGTCCCCAGCCCCCCTCGCCCCTGCATTCTCACCCTTCCACTGGCACTTTGCCCATACTCGAGGCAGGGACCAGGGCTGGGCTGTCCATGTCCCAACAGGGCTCTCAGTAGGGACCTGGCAAGGAGCAGGTCCCTCAGTGTCAGCGGGTCACGGTTTACATGGACCGAAGCACAGAGCACGGACTCTAGGATCAAACAGCTCGGGCTCCAGATCTGGTCCTGCCGCTTCCAGGCTCTGTGACTCTGGGCTTCTATTTCTGCGTCTGGAAGTCAGGATGCCAGTGGGCAAAGCACGTAAAAGTCTGAACAACGCAGGCACGTTGCGCGTGTCAGTAAGGAGAACAGCGATCGGCCTTGTCATTCCACCTGCCTTCCAGAAGGCTGATTTGCATGTTAGGTGGCCTGGACTGAGGCTCCCCTGCTCCCGGGGCTGTGGCCTCGAGGGCTCCTCTGAGCATTGTGTGTGTGTGTGTGTGTGTGTGTGTGTGTGTGTGTGTGTGTGTTCCCCACTAGACAGCAGGAGAGAGCTGGGTGATGATGCTTGGTCTGTTTAATGCCCCCCCCCCCCCGCGCCCCATGCTACCAGGCTGAAGGAGGCGTGACACCCTGGGTCAGTCCCGGCCCCGCTTACTCTCCCGCAAGGAGTTGCAGAGGCAGCACCACACCTCCCCTGAAGGGCTGTGGGGGGCGCTCACTCCAGCTCACATCCTCCCCTCTCCTCCCCAGGGCTCCTGCTGGGGACGCAGGCTGTGCCAACCCTCGGCTATTCTGAGGACCCCGAGCTGCCAGGTCTGTTCCACCCGGTGCCTGGCACACCCTGCCAGCCACCCCCCCTGCCAGAGGAAGGTGCCCCAGGAGCCGTCTACCTCCTCTGCAAGCAGGGCAAGAGTTGGCATTACCATCTGTGGGACTATGACCAGGTCCGGGATAGCAACCTGCAGCTGACGGACTTCGCGCCGTCGCGGGCTGCTGATGGCCGGACGTACGTGGTGCCCGCGGGCGGGGTACGAGCCGGCCTCTGTGGCCAGGCGCTGCTGCTCAGCCCGCGGGACTCTGGCCACTAGCCTGCTGCAGCCGGGGAACGGGGCCCCCTGGCACAGCTCGGCTCTGTCACCATTTGAAGAGTGCCCCAGTGTCTCCCTTTTCCCAACAATCCGTCGGAGTGGGCTGTGTTCCTGAGGACCTCCAGCCAGAGCTCCTCCGTGCAGAGGCCTCCTCCCGCGCACCCCTACCCAATCCATCCAGTCCCAGTCCCCTTCTCCCACACCCACCCCCCAGTGTTGAGCCCCTGCTGTGTGGCTGGAGGCAAAGCCAGGAGCTGGCTAGACAAGGCCCCTGTCCGGGGAGGACACTGACCACAGCCCGGCCCGAAGGTCCTGTCCGTCCCACCCGAATGGTGCATCCAGCCATCTCTCACTGGTGACCACCCTCCCCTCTCTGGACAGGAGCCTTCTCCTTAGACCCCTTGCTTCTCCCCCCCTCCCCACCCCATTCCCATGGAGCCTAGGAAGCATTGCCTTTTATTTTTTAATTTTTTTTTATTTTTTTAATTTTTTATGTTTTGTTTATTTCTGAGAGAGAGAGACAGCATGAGCAGGGGAGGGTCAGAGAGAGGGAGACACAGACTCTGAAACAGGCTCCAGGCTCTGAGCTGGCAGTCACCACAGAGCCCGACGCGGGGCTTGAACCCACGAACCGCGAGATCATGACCTAAGCGAAAGTCGAAAGTCGGACGCTTAACCGACTAAGCCACCCAGGCGCCCCGAAGCATTGCCTTTTAAAATGCAAACCAGGGAGAAGCAAGTGGGTGGCTCAGTTGGTTAAGCATCAGGCTCAGGTCATGATTTCACGGGTTCATGGGTTCGAGCCCAGAGTCAGGCTCTGTGCTGACAGCTCAGAGCCTGGAGCCTGCTTCCCATTCTGTGCGACCCCCCCCACCTCTTCCCCTCCCCCACTTGCACACGTATGCGCATGCATGCGCTCTCTTTCTCTCTCAAAAATAAGCATTAAAATGCAAAGCATGTCTCAGTACTTGCCTCCTAAGAAGCTTCCAGCAGCAACTTGTTGCTCACAGGCTAGGGATTAAAGACTCCCAGCCTCAGCTCATCTCTCCTGATCTCTGACTATTCCTCACACTCTCTGCCACTAGCCATACTGGCCTTTCAGGTCCCTTGAGTGTCACTTGCCCACCCCTGCTGAGGAGACCTTAATTCTCAATATTGGTTCATCTTTCTCAGGGAAGACTCCCTAGCCCCAGGCTAGGCCCCTCCCTGACCTTTGTGTTCTGATTGAGAAACTGGACAGTAAGTGCTAACTCATCAAACTCTTCAACCATGTCAGGAAGGTACTAGATCCTGGACAGTAAGTGCTAACTCATCAAACTCTTCAACCACGTTAGGAAGGTACTAAATCCTCCCCCAGTTGAAGAGACTGGCGCCTGGAGAAGTGCAGCCACTGGCCTGAGGTCCCGTCCTGCCTCCCTGCGGCAGCACCAGGATTCAAACCAGGCAGTTAGTGCCTATAAGATGGGGAGAAAGAGGGGCGCCTGGGTGGCTCAGTCAGTTAAGCGGCCAACTTCAGCTCAGGTCATGATCTCCCGGTTCGTGGGTTCGAGCCCTGCATCGGGCTCTGCTGACAGCTAGCTCAGAGCCTGGAGCCTGCTTCGGATTCTTTGTCTCCCACTCTCTCTCTGATCCTACCCTGTTCACACTACCCCCCTCTCTCTCTATCTCTGTCAGAAAAAAAAAAAAAAGACGGGGAGAAAGGTTGTTAACTGCATGGATACCTGTTGCCGCCACCCTGAAAGGGGGGAGACAGGTTTGCCTCAGTCACTTGTGTAGCCCAGCGCCCAGCAAAGAGATGGGTTTCTAACCGGGAGAGGGGTGTCCCTGCCCTGGCCCTGGTCCCTCTGCACCAGCCCTGACACCCTGGTTGGCACTGTCCAGTGCACCGTCCCAGAAGCCCCCAAGGGCACAGCTTGAGCGTCTTGGTCACTAGTGTGTGCGTTGTCCAGCACAGAGCCAGGCACCAGAGCAGCAGCTCAGTGAATGCACGCCTAATGCACGAACCAGCGTGCTCCGTGCCTGCATCTCTGTCCCCAGCCCGTCATCATCCCATTACCCTGCCCAGCACTCACGGGGAAATCATGAGCTTTGAGCCCACACGCCCCAGATGAGAAAGAAAAAAAATGCACAAGGTTGACGTTGAATGTGATTTATTGGGGCATCGTCACGGGGGGGATGGAAGCAGATGAAGCGATTTTGCCTCCTGTCCCCCGGCGCTGCCCCAGCTAATGACTACCTCTCATATAAATAAGTATAAAGACAGTTGGTCGGTAGAAAAAGGAGCCGCCTCCTCAGGCCCGGAAGACACTCTAGGGCTTCAGCTTAGGGAAGAGGGAGGTGCCTGGTTCCCAGCCTCCTAGGCTAGGAAGCCAAAGGTACAGGTGTAGGAGGAGGGGGACGGAGGGGCGTCACCCACACTTGAGAAGGTGCTGGGGTCTTTGGTTTGGATCAGGCTGCCAGCCCTGGGTCGCAGCCACCTACGCTGTACCTCTGGAGGAAGGCAGCTCTGATTCCCAAGCCTCCTCTTCCAGATCTGAAAGCCCCCTCCTGCCACCAGTTGGCAAGGAGCAAGGGCAAGGGGGACCGGGGTGGGGGGAGGGAGGCCCGAGGAACGAGGTTGTGCTAGTCAGAGCTGGCACAGGACACGGCTGTGGTCTTGGTCTGCAGGGGGTCAAGAGTTCTGTCAGGAAGGGGGGAGGATCCCATGGGGCCAGGGGAGGGCGGACCGGGCGAACTGGGTCCCGCTCAAGGGCAGCTCTCAGCCCTGCGGTGTCACCCTCCCGAACCTCTCAGCAATGGAATGGCCCCCAGATGAACAGAGGGGTTGTAACTCTCCCAGGCAGACAGGTGGCTCCTGCCTTTGCTCACAGGTGAGGTCTGGTTCCCCCCTGGCACCAGAGAGGACATTCCCCCTTCCCAGGCCTCCAGGAGCCAGCTTGCGGCCAGGAGGGGGCTGACAAGGAGACAGTGATTGCGGTCATCCCTGCGGCGTCACACGTATTCCCCGTGGCACCTGGACTGTGTTCTGTCAGGGCTCCCGGTGGCGTCGTGGCCTCCGGCAGCCCCCTCAGAAACCTCCGTGGCTGGGCAGAGGGCCCGGTCCGGTTCTGATGCGAGGTGGAATGCGGCCATGGGCGCGTCCCCTCTCCAGTCCTTAAAACCTCTGTGTCGTGAAAGAGGCGGGCGCTACCGGGTCTCCAAGGCCCTTCAGACCTTCCGCTCATGTCTCACGTGGTGTGCAGACCAACCCCTCCCATCCCCGAGGTCAACCCCCATGGCTGATCTCGGGGCACTGCCAGCCAGATGGGCACCACCCAATAAATCAACCCGGTGGTGGGCGAGGGGCTCAGCCCTGAGCCAGCCCCTGAAGGAGGCGGATCAAGTTGTCCAGACCCCAGAGGTACCCGTCCTCGCGGTTGCCCTCTGCCCACGGCAGTCGGTGGCTGAGCGTCTGGTGGTCAGGCAGGGCTACTGTCTTGCCGAAGTCGATCATCCAGACCCTGGCCAGGCCGGTGTGGTCGTGCACAAAGAGGAGGGAGCTGCCCACCACCTGCAGGGAGAGGGGAGGGAGGTTAGGGGGAGAGGAAGGCAGCTGAGCGGGGTGCTCGACAGCCTGAACTCTGGAGCCAGGCCATCTGGGTTCAAATCCTGGCTCTTCCACATAACTGGCTAGGTGGCCTTGGGCAGGTGGTCTGACCTGTCTGGACTTCCACTTGCTCCTGTACAGGATGGGGATAATGGAATAACCATAGCATTTGCGGCCAAGGCTGCCGTGCAAGTTACATGCGGGAATTCATCCATAGAAAGCTCTTAGAAGCGTTGCCAGTGTAGCAAACGGACGACAGTGTTACCCATTGCCCTTTGCCAAGCTGGGATCCTGCATGGGAGAAGTGGATAACGCCTTCCCCCTGGAATATCGGCTCAGCCCCAGCACAGGGCTGCCGGTGACCCCAGGCAGGGGACTTCCATTCTCTGGGCCTCAGTTTCCCCATCTATAGAATGGTGACACTGAGGTCACTACAGCATCCCATGAAGCGCTTTGCAGTGCTTGACACACTGCCCTCGGTAGATGTTGGTTTTGGTGTTTTGTTTTTTATTAGAAATAGTACTTCTGGGGGCGCCTGGGTGGCTTAGTCGGTTAAGCGTCCGACTTTCGCTTAGGTCATGATCTCGCGGTTCGTGGGTTCGAGCCCCGCGTCGGGCTCTGTGCTGACTGACAGCTCAGAGCCTGGAGCCTATTTCAGAGTCTGTGACTCCCTCTCTCTCTGACCCTCCCCTACTCACGCTGTCTCTCCCTCTCTCTCCTGGAAATAAATAAAACATTAAAAAAAAGAAAAAAGAAATAGTACTATTGCTTTCATGTAACTCCAGGTGTGCAAGCCCCTTCCCCTTTCCAGTCGGGTTTGAAACCCCAGGTGATGGGGCAGGTGAGCAGGTGGCTGGCAGAGGAGGCAGCCGCCGCCCCGCTCTGGCCGCTGGCATATGGTGAGCGGCCTGGTGCGGCCACGTCTCCCAAAGTGCCAGGGAAATTGGAAGTCCCGATTTTGGTGTGAAGCCTCGTCTTTTAGATGTTGGCAGCTCATTTTTTAAAACGCTAAGTCACCAGGTGGGTGAAACCGAACATGAGTGCAGAAGGGATGAGGTCCCCAGGCCTCCTCTTTGTGACAGGTGTGTAAAGCCCAAGGGCAGCGATGAGGACGAGGAGGGTGACATCTGATGACAATGAACACGACAGTAACAGCTGGCACATGCTGCGGGTTTACTGTGGGCCGTGTTCCCTGGGCCAAGCTCCCATGTACGTTAACCTGCTTCGTCCTCCCCATGCCCAAGGGGCAGGTGCTCTGTTAACCCGTCCTGCCCGCCAGGCGACAGGTGTCCAGAACCACTCCCAGGGGCAGGTGGCTGAGGAGGAGTGCAGAGCGGGATTCGAACCCCAGGTGGCCTGACTCCCAGATCAAGGATGTTTCAGGAGTTGGGAACACCAGGAAAAAGAAGTGGGAGGAGGGGTGTGCCTGGGTGGCTCGTGGCTCGGTCGGTTAAGCGTCCAACTTCAGCTCAGGTCATGATCTCACAGGTCATGAGTTCAAGCCCCATGACGGGCTCTGCGCTGACAGCTCGGAGCCTGAAGCCTGCTTCAGATTCTGTCTCCCTCTCTCTCTGCCCCTCCCCCACTCACACTCTGTCTCTCTCTCTCTCTCAAAAATAAACATTAAAAAAATAATTTAAAAAAGAAGTGAGGATGAACCTAACAGGGGAGGTGGAAGAGCTCGCAGAAATAAGGGAGAGGAAAGGACACAGGCTGCGACATCATTGCCTCACAGACTTCCTGAGACAGCCCCAGATTCCTGGAGACAGAGGAGGCAGGAGGGAGGGACAGGGACGGGCTGCAGGAGGGAGGGACGAGGGAGCAAGCGGGGAGAGCCACCAAATAGGAATGCAGATACCAAACAATCGCTGGAAATAATTAGGATTACAAAGTAATTTAAGAGCAGGGACTTAAATGCACTTCCATCCTGCGAAGAGCATTCGACAGTTGGTCTCACGCTCAGCAGCCCTGCGGGCAGGGAAGCATTGTTCTTCCCCGTGTTAGGAGGAAACTGAGGCCCTGGAAGGTAACTCCCCTACCCAGCATGGAACAGCCTTCATTGCGGGCCGCCCAGCTCAAGCCCCTGAAATCCACCTTGCTGCCTACCCTCAAAAAGCAAACCCCAAAACTTGGGGGTTCCTTTTAATAACTTTGCCCTGTAATCTGTCAGCTGTTTCTCTGTCCCCTCCAGACACACTGAACCCCCGACCCCCCACCCCTGCACACAGGGCCTTCTCCCCTCCCTGGTGGCCGGGGCTCGCACCTCATGGGTCTTGAAGAAGGGGGAGTTCTCCAGAGCTTCACGGAGTTCTTCCAGGCGTGCCACGTACTTTCTCTGTGTGAGAGGGAGCGTTTCGTGTTCAGCACGGGGGGGGGGGCGCGGGTCCTTACCCTTGAGGCCTGACCTCATCCTATACCCTCAAAGGAGGGAGCAGACCCCGGCTGGGAGGGGATCAGGGGAGCCACGGGGAAAATGGGAGGGAGGGGGCTCTCGGGTCCACCGGGGTAACAGACAAGGGCGTGGCTGGGAGAGGACTTGAATACCCACAAGTCCTAGCAGCCCCTCCCACAAGAGGGGGAGTCCAGTCCCTTTCATCTCAGCTGTATCGGAAGATTTGCTCTGGGCAATAAAACAGGGCAGAAATGACGGTGGCCATTCTGAGCCTGGCCAGTCAAGACACCTTACATCTTTCCCTCGTTCTTGGGACCACCTGCTTCTGCGCCGAGAAGGCGCCCAGGCCAGCCTGCTGCATTGTGAGAGCCAAGTGGCCAAGTCATGAGCCAATCACCAGACCCAGGACAGGGCCCTCCTAGACCAGCCAGCTCTCGCCAGGCCACCAGCGGGCCGCAGATGGTGAGCAACGCCAGCCAGTATCGGTCATCCTTGGCCTAAAGCGGATGACCCTTGCCTAACGAGCGACCGCGACGGTGGGGATCTTAAGCTGCTAAAGACAGGGCCCGCTGTGCTGCTCACCAGGATTCCACGGTTCCCGTCCACAAAGTCCTCCAGCACCTTTGTCACCTGCTCCAGCTCCTGTGTCTTCTTGAAATTGGTGTTGCAGGTCCCACTGGCTTTCTGCAGGGCAAGGGGTGAAGGCCCGGTGTCACCTCCCCCTTCTCACGCCTGACACCAAGCAGCCTCAGGCGTTTCCTGGGACCACCTATCTGCCCCCCACACTTGCCAGTGAGCAAGCCCACCTGCTCAGCCCGGGTCAACCCAGCCCCGAATCACACTCCAGGAGTAACCGGTCCTTCTGAGTCTAACCTTGAACCCTGCGGTTGAGCCAGTCCAGCCAAGTGGGCTTTGAAGAGGGGTGGATCTGGCTTTGAACCGTGACTTAGCTACTTCCTAGCTGGGCAGCCCTAAACGAGCCAACACACCGGCCTCAGCCTCAGTTTCCTCACCTGGAAAATAGGGACCGAGTTGGTATTTACTGCCTAAAGCTGGAGTAAGGATTAAAGGAGACTGGATATGTAGGCTGCAAAGCACAGTGCCTGGCATACAACTAAGTAAGCACTCCATAAATGGGACTAATAATGTTTATGTCTGAGGGGGGCACAGAGAAGCCACCTGAGTCGTTCTGCCACACTGTGCCAGGTGCTGTGTGGGCGCTGATAACATGGAGGTAACAGGACAGACACAGTCAGGTGAAGGAGACAGGTATAGAACAATAAGATCTTCACAAAGGGAGAGAATAGAATTATAGAGTGTGGGGAGCCATGAGGAGGTAAAGAGAAGGCCCTGATCGAGCAGGATGGAAATTAAGGCGGGCTTCTTGGAGGAAGCAAAATTTGAAAGGAGACAGGAAAATGACTGGGAGACAGGAAAATTGAGGGGAAAGCAGGGGGAAGAGCAGTCTTGGCAGAGGGAAGAGCATGTGCAGAGGTCCTGTGGCAGGAAAGAACAGAGCTCTTTCAAGGAAATGAAAGCACTGTGGCCTGAAGGGAGACAAGGAGAAAGAGAGAGGGGAGAGATGAGGCTAGACCCTGGAGGGCCCTCTGGGCCAGGGGGCTTCTCCCGAGGGGACTAGGGAGCCATGGAAGGGTTTTGAATAGGAGAATGGCAGTCAGATGCGCAACTTGGAGAGACAGTTCAGGCCAGGCCGTGCACGACGATTCCACTCTTGTCAAAGGAGTTTGGCAATCTCTAGCAACATTCCCAACGCCGCTCATCTCTGACTCCATCTTCCTCCTTCTGGGAATCTAGTCTCCAGGTAAACCTACACACTTGCAAAGTATCTTATGTACAAAGTCATTCACTGAGGCACTGTCTGTAATGGCAAACAGTGGAAACGCAGGTGGCCATCTGTAGGGGACTGTGTCACATCCACAGAAAGCTATTATATAACTGAGGAAGGAAGGGAAGAAGGGAAGAAGGAAGGAAGGAGGGAGGGAGGAGGAGGGAGGAGGGGGGAGGGAGGGAGGGGGAGGGGGGAGGG